GCAACTTTATATCATAGATAGTAGTAACTCTCATGGAAAAAAAAAATGCTTTTTATGCACATTCAAGTGGAAAATTCTTCTCCCCTAACTGCAAATTCTAAGACAATTTATATATAAGCCTGAGTTTGTTATACATAAAAATACTGATGGAAAACTGTCACTCTTCATATTCAAATTTCTTTATTCAGCTTCATAAGATGTTTTTGAAAGGATTTTGGAAAATAATTGATGTGCTGTAATGAGCTTCCATACCACTGTAAGTTGTTTTTCTGGCACGACTGACTTCAGAGAAATGGTAGAATATTTAAAAGATTATTTTGTGGGGTGAAAGGGAGAAGTCAGATCCACTTGTTGCCAGATGAAGGTGTTCTAGTTGAAAGATTAATAATAAAACCTATTTATCTATTTATCTAACAGACTGGTATCTCACCTCTAACAGATACTGTTATGCTACCACAAATTTTAAGTTTGTTTGAAAAATAACACTGTATTTTACCACTTCCTTAAAGAAAACACGTATTTTGAAATAACCTAAACCTCAAGCCAGCATATTTGTGACTTGCCACCATCTTTTCCTAGGTTTTCTGGTAGCTGGACATAAACCCACCATAAATGTTAAAGCAAAGATAAAACTTGATCACAAGCAAGGTGACAGAACGTCCTTTTGCTGTATCAGATACATCCCAATCTCCTGTGCTATGAGTGAGTATGCAGGACTCAAGGAGCTCAAAAGGAAAGAAAAGTCAAAATGAAGCAACAGGCAGCAACTGGCATATATTATTCACACTTTCTTTTACGGTCACAAGATATTCTTTGTTTCAGCAACTGTTTTAGATTATCTGTGTGATTCAAGGGATTTCTGCAGTATGTTCACTCATCAGCCTGCAATCAAAAAAAAATCATCTCTTCCGATAAACACACTTATCTGAATTTCTTCACTGACACCAAGGGTAATGCAGTAGACTGTCCAATAGTTCAAAAAGACCTGCTTCCATACTTATTTCTGCAGGTACACTAGACAATTACATAACAGGCACTTACACAGGTTATCACTACCACCATCACCCTAAGTGGCACTTAGGGACGCTCTTGTGGACAATTTTGGCAGAACAGTCAATAATTAGTATAGCACCAAAACCTGAAAGAGCGCACAGAAGCCATGAATCCTTCCCCCCCCAACTTTTAAGAGCCCCACAATAACAACAGCATGACCTGCTTTTGCTAATGGAATAGCATAGCCAGTGCTAGTGTCTATACAGGTATCGACACACAACTTCTCATTCTTCAAGACTAGTAAAAGAAAAGGGGGGAAGGGGGAAGAAAGGAAAAATTCCTAACACTTTTTGCAAAGTCAGTAGGATGGTGAAAAAATCCAACTTGACAGACTCAAATCCTGTATGCACATTGGTGCTACATAGTAAAAATAAACCCCCATTCTTCTGCCTTTTGTTTCCTACTCATACAGCATAACTAAGTGTCTCTTAACATTGGATTCCCATTCTCTTTTCCTTGACTTCTGTCTTGTGATCTAGCCAATGGCCCTGTTTAAATTAACTTAATCGATTCCTCCTTCAAATGTAATTCAAGAGGCCAAAAAAATGCTAATTTTCTCTGCAGAAGACTTAAATGAGACAGAGGAAAGCAGAAATGAATGAATTTAAACTAGAATTATCTAAGTATTGATAGGTATCTTAGTTAAATCCAATCCCCAACCTTCATTTCTACGTAGCCTGTACAGATGATAATCTCTTTGCGTATTCTCAGTGTACAAGGCATTTCACAGATCACTAGCTGTCACTATAGTCTTGCTGAAACCCTCTGTTAAATTAATCAGAAAAGGATAGAAGTAAGATTTCAACGAAACAATAAAGATATCTAACAGAGACAACATTTCTGAACTTTAAAATTACAGTGTGGTTTGTAATAACATAAGAGTCAGGCTCCAAATGGAAATCACTGTCAAATGACTGCTAGGACTGTAGCTTAGCACACAGGATGCAACACAATCGCAAATAGGGGTGGCGTAGGTTTTGAGATGTTACCCAGTCCATCTCCTAGCCTGAAATCAGGATCAGCTTTACTGACATCATCATTCCTAAGAGGTTTATCTAACCTGTTGTTAAAAAAACTTCAAGATTCTGCAACCTCTCCAAATTATATCACTGAAGACTTTTCGTAACACCTAGTCAAGATCCCTTCATTGCAATTAAGTACCATGTTGTTTTTCTTATCCAAAGTGAGTATGTAGAACAGACTGTACTCCTCCCTCAAAACAGCTCCCTATAGCAGATCTAAAACTCCAGTTATTGCCAGTATTCTCTCCCCAACGCCAAACAATACCGATTCCTTCCATTATTGTGGGCATACCATATTTTCCAGGCTTCTGATCATTATTTTCTGTTGAACTTTCTGCACTTGGCCAACATGAAGTGCGCTACACAAAACTGGGCATCGTACTCTGAATACAACAGGATCGTATCATGTGCTTTACAGGCCATAATCCCATTTGTACATCCCTGTGCGATGCCAGACTTTTCTACAGTGGCACAAAACTGTTAATTAATGTTCAGCTTTTCAACACAGATCCTTTTCTAAAGGACATCTGGATAAGTCAGTATTTTTTTCACTCTCTCTTTCTGCAGCTGATTACTTTTGTCAGTGTAGTACTTGCACATGCCCTCCGGGAATCACCATCAACTTTTTCTTCAAACTAGTTCTCCAAACTGTAAGCATCACTTTGATTCCTAATACTGTCCTTCAACATGCCTGCAGCACTTCTCAGTCTCATGCCTCCCGCCAAGTATAATCAGCATATTCGTCCGCTGCATCAAAGTCCTTAACGAAAATAAGGAATAGTACAAAACCCAGGAAAGATTCCGCTCAACATAACTGTTTTTTGACAGTGAAATGCTGCTAACTACTCTGAGAACAGAGCTTCATAGTCTTCTAGGCAGTTCTGCAATCACACTGACAGAATTTACTTCAGGGCATAGTCTCCTTCATTTATAAGCTTACGAGAACAGCACGAGAGAACATATCATAAAGTTCACTGAAGCCAAGTTACAAGGCATCCACTGCTCCTCCTCCATCCATGAGGTCTGACGCCCTATCAAAGGAGGAAATTAAATTGGTCTGACATTATTTGTTCTTGAGCTAGCTCTTACTCATCATCCTGTGGTCCTCTGTGTGCTTGCAAACAGCACAGTGATCTTTTGTTTCAGTATCTTTCAAGAAATTATAGGTAACCTGACAAGGCCAACAAATCTCTAGTTCCTTCTTCATTTTTAAAGAGCAATACTGTACTTGGCTCTGTCCTCTCACCTGGACCCCATCATTTCTGAAAGACACAGAGCAGAGATCACCTCAGGAACTGTCTGAACAAAACTATGAGAGCTCAGCCAGGCCCCTACCATTCTGAAAACATTTCACATAAGCAACTACTTCAACATGTTCCATCTTAGAAAAGGTAAGACAAACTGTTCTCCAGATGCACCCCCGCTGACTGCAGAGAAGGTTAAGGTATCTAGCTAAAAACAACTGTTAAACTCATAAAGCTAAAGTTAGAAGATATAAACGCCAAACTCCGTGTCCTGCTATATTAATTTTTCATTAACGGCCTAAGTAGCCAAAGTCTGACATTACTAGCAATTTACGTTCAATCTCTAATACCATTTAAGAAAAGCCTTATCTTCCTCATTTCTTAAGTTTGGTGGCCTGTAAAAAACTCTCTCCATGGAATTACCCTCATTCTTTTCCCTTTTACCAAGACTATTTTATCAAGTTTCATCCTTATACCACCCAGTTCTTACGTTAGGATATGTAAACAAGATTTATTAGACCATTTCCTTTCTTTCATGATTATTTTACTGGGTCAAACTACAAAATCCTATATTAATATTCCAAACATGAATTATTCCTCCAAGTTTTTGCTATACATGAAGCAAATAATCTTGAACACATGTTAAAACTTCCCCTCTTTATTCACCTGATATCCTGCGTTAGAACATCGATTCTCTACTTTTCAGCACTGTGATCTGCTATCTCTCTCCTCCATCGCCCATATTCAATAGTCCAACCGCAAAAAACGTGAAGATTAATCTATTCCCTTTATTTTCCCTTCCACCATGGCACAATTTACCTTTGAACTCTATCTAATGCTAAACAGCTTGAGGGGAAATGTTATAAATGTAGCCTTCTCCCTTCATGGGGAAAAGTTAAGTTACTATAAACACAGAAAAAGAGCAAGGATAGAACCATGCCTTGAACTGCTTTTACTCCCAATTTTTATATCCGTTACAAATCCCCCGGCCACATTAGTCAGAATGTATCATCCTCACTGGTTCTTAATTTTGTTATTATTTGATTCTTACACTTGTGTCTAAATAATGAGAACAGACTGTCACTGTTCTATGATTGATTTTCCATGATTTTCAGGCCTTCCACACCAGCAGCTTAGTATCTGTGATGCTTGAAGCTTACTTTAGAAAGAAAGCAAGCTATTTGAACTGGAAAAAAGATATTACAAAGTAGTGCAGCAAATAAAAACATCAGATAAGCCTCTTCCCTTGTGTGTCTGGTATGTGTGTGTTTTTGTGCTAAGGGGAGATAAAACAGTAACACCAGCACAAATTACTTACAATGAGGTAATCTGTAAATGTATTTATAAAAGATTCACAACTTACGCAATCTTGGCACACACTGAGCATTTCCACTGCCCATCAGTTCCCACGACACGACACTTGTTGCAAACTCTGAGTTTGCAGGTTTGGCACATATCTCCCCTGTCAAAGATTAGGCCCAGGTTTTTCTGACAGCGAACGCAGACCCTGCTGCTGTCCTGTTGACAGTGACGGTTTCCACCCTTCCGTCTCACTTCCAGTAGCTCATTTTTTAATTTCCTAGAAGAAAATAAAACATTTAATTTGGAGAGATAACTGGGTTTTGAGCACAGTTAAGGTAAAACACTCGGAGATCAAGTAACACTCCCCTCTTCTTCTAATTTGTATAAATTTTTAAGAGATTAAGATTTAGTGCTAAACACTAAAAGACACAGTAGGTAAAATACAAATATGCTTTATATATTCACTAGATTTTCAGACACATAGATGACAAAGAAGAATAAATCTATACTCCACCTCTCAGACACACAATCAAGAAGAAAATATGCAGTCTTTTGGTGGAACAGTATCAGTGACTGCAGACAGCTGAGTGGTTCTAGACCACTGGTAAACCATCTTTGCCTGTCTGTCATCAATAATTCAAGTGATGCTGAGTCCAGGTTGACTGTAGCTCAAAACTATCTTGCGCTTCCACAGAAGGAAAACAATAAAATCTTTATTGTAATTAGCATGTGTTTAGTACTATGCTGGTGAAGATTTAGCTAGGTACATATATACAGTTCTGCGCTGGCTATTCAAAGAATCATTAAAAAAACAAACAAAAAACCCAACTGAACAGATGTGGCACCACAGCATAAAACCACTAATTAAAAAACTTGAGACTGTCTGTTTAAATAACGTGACTCGCCTATTACCACTTCTGCTACTGACCCTGAAGGATAAAAATACTTGCATGTAAGACCTAATTTTGAAGGCTCCAGTTTCACTGGCGCATGAGTCAGGTCCTTAAGGAGAAAATAACAATACGTGAGATGTAATGGCTACATTTTCAACAGCAAAAAAAGGATTGTGAACATAAAGAATCAAGGAAGACAGGAGAGGCAGTTTTTGATGTCCACCTTCCCAAACCCAGGGATTCAAATATTGCCCCAAAACTCTCACCAATAGCTCCTTGCGCTTCTGTTCCTCACCTTTACTCTAGACCTTTCCCTCCCTCACCACAGCCTCTAGCTCCAATCCCTCCTACCCTGGCCCCCAGAACCATGTAGGCTGGAAGAGAACTTTGGAGGTCAGCCAGCCCAAATCCCCTCTCAAAACAGAGCCAACCAGGTCAGGTTGCTCAGGGACCTGTTTAACTGAATTTTGAGCATCTCCAAGCATACAGAGTTCACAGTGCCTCTGGGCACCTGTTCCAGAATTTGACCACCTTTATGTTTAAACAAAAAACTCTCCTAGTATCCAACCAGAATCTCCCACATTCCAGCTTGTCCCTATTGCTTCTTGTCTTTACACTGTGCACCTCTGAAAGGAGTCTGGCTCCATCTTCTCCCATTAAACAGCTGAAAACAGCAGCAGTTGAAGACAGCAATCAGGTCTCCCCTTCCCCTTCTCTTCTGAAAGTAGAATAAACCTGGTTCCCTCAGCCTCTCATCCTATGTAACATGCTCCAGCCCCCTAATCACCTTGACGGCCCTCCTCTGAACATGCCCCAACATGTCAATGCTTCCGTACTCCAGAATGTGGTCTCACAAGTGCTGAATACAGAGACTAATCACTATCTTCAGCTGCTAATGCAGTCCTATATGTTGACAAAACTCCTATGTCTCAACAATTCTCAAGTGACGTCCTGTCCACTCAACTCCAGGCCCCTCTCATCCCAGGGAACCTTTTCAATAAACTTACGATCCCCCGGTCTCTCCAATCTTTCAATCGCTTCCTATACTCCAATGTACCCCAGAATACTTCCTGACCAAGGCCCCAACTCAGCAGCTGCTAGGTTCTTCCAGTTTAACATGCCTGGGTGCTGCTGTCCTCCACCCCACCCCTGGTGTCCTCTTGCACACATTCCCATTAGCCTTGGCCATCCAGAGTATCCCTATCACAAAGCACAGCAGCTAACTGAACCCACCGGCTCTGCGCATACATGCTATCAAGGGAAATTTAAAAAACCTGGCTTTACTTAAAAATCAGTAAAAACGTTGCACGAAGAAACCAAACGCTTTAGGACAAAATGAAAAAAAATTATGGACTGCAACGCCAGTGAAGCAGGCCCTGAACATTGCTTAGGTCGGTAATAATTCATCAGGGACTAAGCTCTGACAGAATTAGGTTATTTGCGGATACATGGCCTTGTTAGAGGGCTGGCTAGCATTTTGCTTCCCACTGGGATCTCATGAACAACAGCTGCTCTGCAGCCACCTGGTCTGCGGACGCTCAACCTCTGACAGCTCTTGAAAAAAAAAAATTGTCCAATTCTTCCAGGTAGCAACCACAAATCCTCTTAGTGTTCTCTTCTGCTGGCCTCTAGCCAAGAGTGATTTCTTCTTTCTGCCACGTTTTGCTTCTGATTCATCTTTTCCATGTCCATGCCCAAGAGCTTTTCTCCCATGCCATAACTTTTTGAAGTCCACCCAGGTTTTGTGAGCATCCTTGGTACTTTGCTAATTGTTCTTGCAGCTTGTTGACTGCATCTTATGTCTACCTACTTCCTGCAAAGATACGGTTAGTTTTAAGTCCATCTCTGTTTCCTTCTTCTGGCAAACTGACACTTCCAAATTTAGACAGGTGACCTGCACGACAGGAACCGCTAACTGCACTGCAGTACTGCCACTATGCACAGTGAAGGCAGATGATCACGAGTTTTCCCCTCCTTTTGCTGGGATATATGTCCCAAATTAGCCTGTCTTCATAAAATGGCAAAAGTCAATGTTCTGGATTCAGAATTAAAGCAAAATAGTACCATACCATCTTAACAGAGATCTCACATCTATCTATTTGACTCACAACTGTCATGAAATACTTCTTAGTATTTGTGAAGACATCTAATTATCACTGAGGTTATGGCCACTTACATTTCACTAAATACCATCAAACATTGCCAAAATGCTCGGTGATATACTGTCTCTCCTTTCAGCAGTGTGAATTCGTCCGAGACAAAGTACTGGGCTACATGGCCTTTATAATTTAGTACAGCCGCTTTTAGGACTCATTGACCTCAGGGCAATTTAAGATTGGATTGTGCTTTCACATGTTGAAAGGCAAACAGCACCTTCCAGGCTCACCTCCAAAGCCCTCCCTGTCAGAGCTAAGTACCCTTCCGTGGGAATTCTTAATCTGATCAAAGCTTGGCCTGCCCTTCTCATTTACTTTTTGTCTTCCTAGAGCTTGCTGAAATGATCCACTTGCATCTGCACTGGGCCCACCACATGAACTCTCAGAGTTGTGTTGACTGCTCTGCCACGGGCAACACTGCTGCCAGCAGGAAACTTTTGAGTCTGGAAAACATGGACCTGAGAAAAAGAAGAGGAAGGGCAGACCTAATTTGCACCCGCAACCTGGACCATAGCCTTAGTGTGGCCTCTCCAGCTGCCCCAACCAATTTCTGTCCCATCTCCACACTCTGAGCTGACAGCAGAAAGGGACATACCAGCCTGCTGGAGCAAACGCTGTAAGGCAGATTCAGTCTTACTCAGCTTCCCCATACAAACCCCTCTCTGACTCCTCTCCCAAACAATTTACTCAGGCTAGGTCAAGTGATAAAAGCTCGTCTTTGTGACAAGCACAAAGAAACAAAGAGAGACAATGGCAGACAGAGGAACCTGAATTATAACTGCCCCAGCTACTTATGGACCCATCATCAGCCCTTCCAGGGCTCATCTCCACAAGCAAAGAGCAGTGCAGAGGCACAATCACAGGCAGGCCTGCAGGAGAACCCAAATCACCTACTGAGAGGAACAGACACCCTGTCCAGGCTCCTCCACAGCTGTCCCAGGAGAGACTGCTGTGAAATCCAGCAAGATGAGTCAACAGGAGTGGCTCTCCCTTTTGGATTGAAGAGGGTTACTGCATAGCGATATGGGACACGTCGTGGGATGCAGGGGAAGAGAATTTCAGGATTGTGCAAGTCTTATCACAGGACCTTTAAGAGAGTAATTGGAGGCAGAGAAAGAGAGGAATCTAGGTGATTTGAGGAGGAATGAACATGGGAAACTAGAGGGACAAGGGGATAAAAAGGGGCTAGCTGTGTGTTAATGCAACCGGTCAGCAGGCTTGCCTGGCCATGCCCTGTGCCTGATCAGTACAGTCTGTCCTAGCTCATTAAATACCTTTCTAACTATTTTCCTGGGTGAGGGATCAGGTGTTCTGTGTGCACGTGTTGAGTAGCAACTGGATTCAGACCACAGGTCATAGGGGCCCAGCAACTGGAGAGATTGCAGTGAGTGAAATTAAAGTGCCAGCAACTGGAGCGAGTGAGGTTACGCGACTGAGTGCGCAGTTGCTAGCGAACGTGAAGCTGGACTAGCTGACAAGCAGGAGAGGTGACCTGGGAGCCACATATGTGTGTGTGTGTCTAGGGGTGAGATCACAGGGATGTTGGGTACGGGAGGAACCAGGGGAGTCCAGTCGACTGCCAGGGAGACCATAGGGTCCGGAGGTTGACTGGGAGACCTGCTTGTATGTATGCACATGCATGTGTACATCTGTATGTCTCTAACGGTGAGACCATAGGGGACTTGGCTGCTGAGGGGACCAGAGGAGTCCTGGCCAACTGCCAGAGAGATCATGAGACTGAGACCCGTTTGTGTACAGGTCTGGTGTGTGTGCACGTGTGCCTGTCTCGAAGTACGAGGCACCCAGAAGAGCAAGGATCCAGGATCAGCTACTGACTCCAAAGCCAGTCAGTGGAGGAATCCACATTGTACATATATATCTGTAATTCCCACTAATGGGCCTTCTTCCTGATTAGCCAGAGAGGTGAACAGGACGAGGCTGTTTGTGCGAGTGCTGAATATTCATGTTCATCTGTGTGACTGGCCATGTACTTATTTTGTACATATGTGCATTTGTGTGGGTGCCTACTGTGAATATATGGTCAGCCTTGCTACTGGTTGGACATGGGGACAAGGAGCTCGGGCAACCTCGCCCCTTTGGGCTACCAGGTTTGGCCTCCTTCCTTAACAACCAGTACCGGCAAGAGGATTTAAAGACTGAAGAGAAACAGGACAAACAACCTTATACACACTATGCGTAATATATGCAATCATTGAAACCTCTTTTAC